GCGTCACCCCCGTTAACGACCACCTCAGTGGCTTCAAGCGTAGGCTTAGCCTCTACAACTCTAATTCAAAAATAAATCAAAACTGTCACCAATTGGGGCAGTGTTTCACTGGAAAATTCGTAAGTATCAATCCCCAATGTTTAAAAGACAAACCGCAGAATTAAATCTTGCTAACTATCCAATAACACCGGAGGAGACACTGAAAGCTTTTAAGGCTGGTATTAACATGTTAGCCTGCTTACTTTAGTTGAGATCTCTGTATAGAGTGCATAAACATCTAGGACATAACTTTAAAGCTGTCATTTTCTCACATTCTGCTCACAGATTTGGTTTAATTTCATTTTTAATTTCATTTTTAAACCATTTTCAATAAGCAATCACACACATTAGCCAGAAACTCCTAAAGTCTAAACTGCAGGCCTCACATCCACTTATAACACAGAATATTTTCAAGTTGACATTCTGCCCTTTGACAACATAGTCCTGTTAATTAAAACTGTGTCTGCATTGTAGGAAGAATACTCAACAGGTTTTCCAAAGATGTCAGCCAAATGGACTCCGTGCTACCTATCACCTTTGTGGACTTCTATCAAGTAAAGACTACCATAAATTATATACATATGTAGACAAAAATACTGTGCCACCTACACCATGTTACATTTACAGGAGCTGCTTGTCCACAGAAACCCATGCTATGAACCTTCCAGCATACATGCTCAATCATCCATGTAAGGAAATCCCAAAAAATTGATTCTGTTCATCTTGACATAGCATTTTGTGGGAGAAACGTTTCATCACTCATCCAAGTGACTTCTTCAGTCTGGACTGACTGCAGGTTTCCCCAAGTTTATGAGGATTACACATCCTGGATAGGGAGGAACGCTGGTTTGAGCGTGGAGTCAAGGAGGCCATTTACGTGAAAAGGGAAAGACCATCTCTGAATCGAGGAGCGGGCCTAAGGGTACATCTTTCACCAACTTACAATGCTGTGATTGCAGCCATACCCCAACTCTCTGTGAATTTTACCCATGCCCTTGATCAATGATCAGTGGGCTTTGATCAGTAATTGTTGATCAATGGTCATGGCAATTTGCATATTAACAATCAAGGAACTGACCCCACAGCCCATTGTTCATTCACTGGGCTGGTTTCAGTCATTGTACAAATGTGCTGTTTATAAGATTGGGGAGGTATCTCTGGCTCTCTTCCACAGCATGTCTTTTATCCTGTTTTCCTTCTCCCACCCCAACCGGGAGATGGCCCCGCCCCTCCCTGAGCCTGGTTCTTCCGGAGGTTTCTCCCACTGAAAACACTACGTCCAGATGAACATAATCACGTTTTTGGGACTTCCAGCATAGAGTTTTTGTATGCTTTTTGAGCACTGGTAGTTTTTTAAACGCGCTATGTGCCTCAGCAGAGTGACCCCACTCTGTAACTCTGCCACTTCATGCTGTGGTTGCTAAATGGCTCCACTTAAAGCTGAATGTGGAATATCTAGGAGGGAAGAAATTTCATGAACTGACAGTTGCCACTATTACTTAAATGATTAGAAGGTGTAGCACTCATTACTTTGGTCCATGTTTTCTTTATTTTGACTTAACAAGATCTTTCAGTATTTTCATTATATGATGTTTTTTTTAAGTTATTTTTACAGAATGTTGGCGTTATCGCGGTGGCAGCCTCAGTTATTCCTCTCATCCTCATCCCTGTTGTGCCTCTCCTGTTAATCTTTCTGTATTTGAGGAGCTTGTACCTTCGTACCTCACGTGATATCAAACGCCTTGAGTCAACAAGTATGTTGATTTATTATTTATATAATTTGTTTTGGGGGAAAAAATAATCTGAAAGGGCCAGCAAAAGTAGTTCTTGTCTTTTCATTTTGCCTTTTCTACAGCTCGGAGTCCAGTTCTCTCACAGCTGTCCTCTTCCCTTAATGGTCTTTCTACAATCAGAGCTTCCAGATCAGAAGAGAAGTTAAAGAAAGACTTTGATGCCCATCAGGACCTGCACTCAGGTTTACTCTTTAAGAATAAACATTTACACTTTCCAGGCTGACTGGAATTTGTAAAGTGACTGATTAATTTTCAGTGTTAAGTCCAAAAATTCTGTGAGACAACTTTACTATGCTGCATTTTTGAAAGACATGCAGCAAAATGGTGAAGACCTGAACCCAGGCCACTGCAGTCAGGGCTTCAATGTATGACGTATCTGCTTAACGAAGCAAAAAGAAGACAAATAAGAAATTGAACGACAAACGAGGTCTATTACTTGCCCTGTAGTAATCCAGATACAAAAAATAAGTCTACCTTTGCAGTTTTGTACCCCTGAGCTGTAAAATGCTGATGGAGTATTGTTGACTCAAGTTCAAATCTCAGTAACTCAGTCTCAAGTTTTTTTCTGCTCTTTTGTTTCAGAGGCCTGGTTTTTGTTCCTGATGACCTCCCGCTGGTTTGCACTACGCCTCGACAGCATTTGCTCCATATTTATTACCCTCACAGCATTTGGCTTAATATTACTCAGAGATGGTAAAGAATTAACAACAGTCCATTCATTTAACTCTCCTTCAATAATCTCAAATACAGGGAGTGCAGAATTATTAGGCAAATGAGTATTTTGTCCACATCATCCTCTTCATGCATGTTGTCTTACTCCAAGCTGTATAGGCTCGAAAGCCTACTACCAATTAAGCATATTAGGTGATGTGCATCTCTGTAATGAGAAGGGGTGTGGTCTAATGACATCAACACCCTATATCAGGTGTGCATAATTATTAGGCAACGTCCTTTCCTTTGGCAAAATGGGTCAAAAGAAGGACTTGACAGGCTCAGAAAAGTCAAAAATAGTGAGATATCTTGCAGAGGGATGCAGCAGTCTCCAAATTGCCAAGTTCTGAAGCGTGATCATCGAACAATCAAGTGTTTCATTCAAAATAGTCAACAGGGTCGCAAGAAGCGTGTGGAAAAACCAAGGCGCCAAATAACTGCCCATGAACTGAGAAAAGTCAAGCGTGCAGCTGCCAAGATGCCACTTGCCACCAGTTTGGCCATATTTCAGAGCTGCAACATCACTGGAGTGCCCAAAAGCACAAGGTGTGCAATACTCAGAGACATGGCCAAGGTAAGAAAGGCTGAAAGAAGACCACCACTGAACAAGACACACGAGCTGAAACGTCAAGACTGGGCCAAGAAATATCTCAAGACTGGTTTTTCTAAGGTTTTATGGACTGATGAAATGAGAGTGAGTCTTGATGGGCCAGATGGATGGGCCCGTGGCTGGATTGGTAAAGGGCAGAGAGCTCCAGTCCGACTCAGACGCCAGCAAGGTGGAGGTGGAGTACTGGTTTGGGCTGGTATCATCAAAGATGAGCTTGTGGGGCCTTTTCGGGTTGAGGATGGAGTCAAGCTCAACTCCCAGTCCTACTGCCAGTTTCTGGAAGACACCTTCTTCAAGCAGTGGTACAGGAAGAAGTCTGCATCCTTCAAGAAAAACATGATTTTCATGCAGGACAATGCTCCATCACACGCGTCCAAGTACTCCACAGCGTGGCTGGCAAGAAAGGGTATAAAAGAAGAAAAACTAATGACATGGCCACCTTGTTCACCTGATCTGAACCCCATTGTCTCTTACTAGTGTCACTTTCTTTGCACAATGATCTTTTACTTTTGCAGTTACAAAACGATTTGACTAAAAATTATGTAAAGATGGCAATGTGTTACTGACTGCAATACCAGTGTCCAAGCTAAAGCTACAAAAGCTAAACTGGCAGCACACTGGCCAATTCAACACTTTGTTAAATAGGTTTAGAAGAACAAACTCACGTAGTCTTTTTTTTTTCCTTCTTAAATTTATTAGGGCTGGTGGCTGGAGAGGTTGGCCTGGTTCTTACCTATGCTGTGACACTGATGGGAAACTTCCAGTGGACAGTGAGACAAAGTGCCGAGGTGGAGAACATGGTAAAAACAGAGTGACATTTAAATTTAAGGCTTTTTTCTTCTGTTATCAGATATTCACATGACATGCTGTTATGACCTGCTGAAGGGAGCTCGTGATTTTTTTCAGATGACATCAGTGGAGAGGGTGGTGGAGTACACTGAGCTAAAAAATGAAGGGCCCTGGGAAACTCAGCAGCATCCTCCCTCTGATTGGCTGAGCCAAGGAATGATAACCTTTGATCGAGTGAACTTCTTCTACAACACAGACGGACCGCCGGTCCTCAAAGAGATTAGTGCCACGTTTCATGCCAAAGAGAAGGTGACACATTTGTTTGCAGACAGATAGTGGGTGGGTCTGGGTGATGATCAGCTGTTGATGTTCTGTGTGTTCGTCTGGGTCAGGTCGGTATTGTGGGTAGAACAGGAGCGGGGAAAAGCTCTCTGGTCTCGGCTCTTTTCCGCCTGGCAGAGCCCCAGGGGAAGATCTGCATCGACGGTGTTGTGACCTCTGAGATCGGCCTCCATGACCTGCGCCAGAAGATGTCCATCATTCCTCAGGTACAACATCAGATGACACCTATTCTGCCTATTGTGTTTTTTGATATTTCATTTCATAGCTGGAATTTATGAGGAAAATGTATTGTGGCTGCACAGAACACCTGCCTGATGAGAGAGACCTTAAATCGTAGGCCTACATAATTTTGCACTCGTGTTTAGTACCCACGTTCTTCTTTGCTTCTGCCCATGCACTGCTGTGTATCTTATCGTGTTATCATCACCTGTTGGGAGGATTTTATAATGTAACACTTGTGTGGACCTGCATGTAGAGCTTTGTAGCAAAGTGCTGAAGTTATAAAACAAACTCCTCTGTGACCCTTGGCTCTAAGGATCTGTTCGTTTGTAAGCCAAGCAGTGGTAAAAGAATATGGGGCTTCAAGGCTTATTTTTTGAGGAAGTAAAAACAAGAAAAACAAAATGAAAGCAAATTAAATTAAATTAAAAATGAAAATGTGTAGTATGAAACTGATTAGTACACCTTGTATTTATGCTCAAATCAAGTATATCTGTGATCACAGCAAATCCAGCACGTCCAAATTAACACTGTCGGATTTGATTTCAACACATTTATAAAGTGTCTATATGGGTCCACACCAGAGAGTGTTAATTTAACTCTTTTTGGAGAGTTGGTACGTTAACTCTGATTTAGTGTTAAACACCAAATCTGTCTGGAGTTG